AAAATTTCCTTAAATGTAACTTCATTTTTCAACATTGCTTCTGTTTTAATCGTAATTAAAATTATATTTTATATATTTTTTTCTCCTCTTTTCAGTCATTTCATACGGAGATGAATATCAATTAAGAGATAAGACAGATTTTATCTACAAAAAAAAAAACGGGATCATGCGAGTGGTTTTTCTTCTGCATCTTACTCGCATGTTGGTTAAGGCATTTACATACATATTAGAGATATGTTTTATAATATGTTTTACACAAAAAAATAGATATTTAATTATATGGATATGGATGTGTAGAAATGCAATGCGGATGTTTCTATAAATTTCTCTTCATTTTTTTTACCTTTAATAATAACAACTTTTTTTTATCAAATTTATGGCACCGATAAATGTAAATTTATTTAGTGTTCAAGTCAGTAGGTTACACATATTTTCCATTGAAATTTCTTTCCACTTCATATTTACATAAAGAAAAAAAATGAAAAAGAAATTTGTTAAACAACTTAAAATACATTATTTGTGAACATAAGCATAAATTGAATGTGCACCATAATGTGGAATATGTGAGTATGGTAGCTGGATGAAAAATTGGAATTTTTGTGGGATTTTATTGAAGAATTTTAAGCACATTTAGGCATTAAAAAATCAGACTTTTACATTCTTATGTGTTTGTCATCCATATCCAATCTTCAACATAATTTCTATCAAGCATTACACAGCATGAAACCTTCTTCTTCTAAATCGCTCGCACAATACTAGATTCAACCTATAAATTGCCCATAAACCAATTAAAATGAGAAATTTCCTTACAAATATCCCCCTACGCACTCTACTCAGAACCACAAGACAAACCAGAACCAACAACCACCTCTGCATTGTAAAATACAGCACATAAAACAGCAACATGCCGGCATACAAATGTTAAACTAGGTAAAGAACTTAAGAAGCCTAAAAGCTAATTTAATTTATTATGAATACAAAAAAATGTGCATATTCTCTATACTATCTATATGTGCCTTTAATGCACTTACGTACGTACATTTTGATGGACAAACAATATGCTCTTAACGGAATCTTTTTCTCTCTCTCTCTCATTTTTTACCTTACATTACTAACTTACTGTATGTAATAATATGCACACACATTATGAATTTTTTTTGCTTTCGTTAAAAAAAAAAGGAAATTTTCTATTAAAATATTTTTTTTTGTGCTTAGATGCATTATAATATGCTTTTTGAGGGAATATAGTATGCAAAGTAGTAAATGCTAGACATTTGCATGTCTAGGGATGGAAACTTATTTCTGTTGGAGTTCTTTTGTGGTTAGGATTCCGACTTGATCCGTAAATTAAGGGCTATATAATCGACTATCCATGAGAAGTACTGGAAATCCTAAAAATTCCACCCATCTTTACTATTCCTAATCCTATTCCTACAACATAAGCAGCATGAAAAATTACTCAGAAGAACAAAAATAAATTTTAATGAGCTTTTTGCAAATAACATTCGTACGTAAATCCATACCAGAAAAAAACATCATAACTGTAGGCGTTTTTACCATAATTAAATTTCTTTATGAATCTCTAAAGCTTCCCTTTTTCATCATCATCCGTTGCCGTTATTATCGTATATTTTAAATAGAACAATTTAGAATTTTTATGGCTTCAGATTTTTTTATACGCATGTATGTTGACTGACTCAAAATGTCATTTACATATGCTGCATTTTTTTCCATGACGATACGAATGATTTAAATGCGATTTGGCTTCAGTATAGAAACTAAATTGTCTGGAAGGCTGACTTTAGTTTATGCTTAAATAATTTTTTTCATTAGTGTCAAGTAATTCGCATTTTCCTCAATAAAATGAAATTGAAAATTTTATTGACTTGAACTTGGATGTAGATTTTTAATGGTTTAGTCGTGTTGATGGTCAAGAAACTGCTCAAGAAAATTCGAATGAATTGTGGGGTCTCATCTAATAATAATAATGCGTGAAGCCCAGCCTTTCAGCTGGAGGCAATGCGATTCAATTTGTGAAGAATCTATTGTACCATACCCTTTAGACCTAGAAAATGTATTTCCTACTTGGTTCTTTGCTCAAAAAATTTTAGTATGTTTTATTTGTATTTGTTTTAAGCACTAGAATATTTATGCAAAGTTTCAATCCATTTTGATAAACCCTCGAAGAAAAAAGTGATGAAATTGATCTTGACTAGGGTCGCCCCTAGTCTAAAATTGAAAATGTATTTCCTACTTGGTTCTTTGCTCAAAAAAGTTTTAGGATGTTTTATTTGTATTTGTTTTAAGCACTTGAATATTTATGCAAAGTTTCAATCCATTTTGATAAACCCTCGAAGAAAAAAGTGACAAAATTGATTTTGACTAGGGTCGCCCCTAGTCTAAAATTGAAAATGTATTTCCTACTTGGTTCTTTGCTCAAAAAAGTTTTAGGATGTTTTATTTGTATTTGTTTTAAGCACTAGAATATTTATGCAAAGTTTCAATCCATTTTGATAAACCCTCGAAGAAAAAAGTGATGAAATTGATTTTGACTAGGGTCGCCTTAGTCCATAATTGAAAATGTATTTCCTACTTGGTTCTTTGCTCAAAAAAATTTTAGGATGATTATTTGGATTTGTTTTAAGCACTAAAATATTTATGCAAAGTTTCAATCCATTTGGATAAACCCTCGATGAAAAAAGTGACAAAATTGATTTTGACTAGGGTCGCCCCTAGTCCAAAATTGAAAATTGATTTTCTATGGTGTGCTTTGGTCGAAAATTTGTTTTGGATGTTTTTTTTTGAATTGACATAATTTTGACATAAATCACATACCAATATTACTTTTTGTAATGCATAGCTTAAAAAAAATCGAAATCTAAAATTTCGACTACCCCATCTGAATTTTGTTCATACTCTTCACTGTAAAAACCAAAAACAAAAAATTCTTTATCTTTAAACACGTGACAAGATAGTGACATAATTCAGGATTAATTCCTTTTTAATAATATTTTAACATTTACGAGAAAATAAGGTTCAAATAAGTGTGAAGTATGGCCGAGATTTGGACCAAAATCAGCTATACTGGTTCATAGTGTTACCGAGGGTGACAAAATTACTCATACAAATACTACACCGAGCTTCGTAACTAGAACGGTGAAATGGAAAAAGAGCTTCAAAAATTAGACATGGTCTGGGATTGAACCCAGGATCTTTGGCACAGAAGGCCAACGCTCTACCATTTAGGCCACTGATGCTATTTCACCGCAGGGTCTCATCTAAGCTTGGACATGAGTTTATAAGTTTGATTCTCATCAAAAACTAGCCTCTTAATTACCCTCATTGAGTATTGCCATTAAAAAATCAACAGCGTAGGTGAACGATTGCCTTAGCGACTATTGACTATTGACTGTGAGCTTCCATTAAAATCCAGTACCAAATCAGAGTTTATATGGAAGCTAGCACCATACCAGAGTCACTCCGGCTTGGAGCCGGATTGCTCAATTAATCGATTTATGTCATTCGGAACCCTTGCTACGTTTATATAATAAGAATTCAAAATCAAACAAAATCATCATAAAGGTTTACAAATGACGAATAAAAGTCAGTTGACATACTAGAAAAAATCAGAGCAAACTAAATTCTTGTGGTTTTTCTTTGTGTCCATTCATATGACTATGCAGTACATACAGAAGCAGGAAATGTTTGTAAAGGAATTAAGAAGAATGAATAGCTTAAGAAATAACTCATTTTTTATTCATCGAAAGTCCATCTTTTGTTGAAATTCTGATTGATTGTTGGAGTCGCTATCTATCAGAATAATCAAAGGATGCAAAATCTTCTAGGTAGCTAAATTATATGCACTAAAAAATCTCATCAATTTGAGTAAAAAGTTCTCAAAAAAAAATCCCTCGTAATATTTACAACTAAACTACCGATAATTCCATCAACATGAATAATCCAGCATCTTTAGCGAAAATGTCAGACATGAAATATTTCATTTCGGGGAGACAGCGACGGAAAGGTAGCTACAAAATAACAGATGAGTCTTCTCCACAAAAGAGAAATGGAAAATATTTCATTCAATCTATCAATAATTATTATTATGTCATAAATTATGATTTTTCATTGCTTCATTTAAACATTGCACTTTATGTTCATTGTGCCTCTGACTGGACGATAAGGCAATGATTTTCATTGCGACGGATTCGTGAGAAGAAGTGAGAGTTTGAGTAAAGTTATGTTAAGAAGGTATGAAGATGATTTAAAGCGCAGTGACTTTAGATATGTTGTAAGTGTCATATAAGAACTAGCATTAGGTTTTAATCATAAGGAGGCGTTATGCTTCTCTTTGAAGCTAGTTTCTCGGACATAGTACTAACATACCATAGCTAAAGCCCAAGAAACTGGTCCTTGGTGTCATGAATAAATTAATTCTAGTAAAGACCCTAATTGAAGCCAAGGGTGTGGTCCTGATGAAATGATCAAAAATGATCAAAATGTAATTCTTCAGTTCCACACCCTTGATGGAAGTGATACTAAGAATGTCTGCTGTTCTTCAATCTGATATGAGTTCGATTCCTCTTCATCATTTGTCGCTATTCTGATGACTTTTACCATAGAGCGATCAGTTGAATGTTAAAAAATGCACTGAATCCCTAAAACCTTTATCCAACCTTCCTTCATCCTAGTTTGTACTGCCTGCAAACAATAATGATCTATGATGTCTTGGTCAGTTCAATCATATCTAGACAATCTGACCAAAATGAACCTTAATCCCAAAAATTCAATTGCAGAGATACCTGAACATTAAAATAAATGCTCCAGACAAAAGAAAACTTGTGCGAGGAGAGCAATTTGGCATGGTCGGTAATGAATATTACCTGAGAGCCCTCCATAATATTCCAAAATGACTTATGATTGAGCATAAGAATTGTAACATTATGAACAATACTTATAAATAATCCATACACAATAAACAATTTAAATGTTGTACTCACCTTATGGGCTCGGATGGAAGTGCCCTCGGAACAAGCTAATGTTACGTCCACCAAACTCTCGTCCTGCAGTAGTTGACTAAAGACCCCTAACAGGTTGGATTGATGATTGTTCCACCTTAGACAGTATTGCTCACTGCCCATGTCGGTGACAGCTCACGCTGATGATTGCAAATGGTGTTTGTAGATGAACAAGGAAGCGATGTTGGAGATGTAAATGAAAAAGAAAAGAAAAAAAGACATTTACCAATTATTAATTAAATCAATTAATTGAACATTTCTTAATTAAATTAACAAGAGTTTTATTTTTGTGTGACTTGTAATGACTGCCAATGTTAGCTTGCATATATAAATAAACAAATTACCCACCCTAGAGCAACTAAAAGGTAATTTGAACGAGAGCGCATTAAATCTCTCAATAGATACACAATACAGAAATTGTAAAACGCAAGCCCATAAAGTGACTGTTATTTAAATTTCCTAGATCTCATTCACAATAGGCCTGTACTTTTGTTCGATCACAAAATAAATACAAAAATGGCATTAAAATATCGCGCATATATAATTAAATCATGTTCAGATAATTTACAATACTCCGATCTGTTTTCCCTTCTCTCTCTTGCGTCAATTTCCTTATAAATTCTAACTGTTTTTCATGTTAAACCTCAAAACTGTTTATGTGTGTTAGCTCACACAATTGTGCATCAATAGATTTTTTTCGATTTCAATGCGATTTTTTATGTGCATTAACAATTTCCTGATTTCGGAAGAAGAACAACTCTTTATAGAGACATCACAATTTTGATGATGCTGCTGTTGTTAGTGCTTATTTTGAATTTATAATACAGCCATTTATTGCTTCTTTGCAAAATCACTGAATTTCCTTTTTTGTTACATTTCGTAAACAAATGTATTTTGAATATGAGAAAATAAAATAAAAAAGATCGAGCAGCGAGGAAGAAGAGGAATTGCGAAAGAAATTTTTTTATGTACACGTAGTTTTTGTGTGTGATTCTTGTTCTTACTAGCGATTCCGTCTTACTAAAGATAAGAATTATTTTGATGTTTTTTGCGAACTTGTCAGAATTTTTAAAACGTCAAGAAATTAAACGTGAAACAGGTGTTTTAAATGCTCAGTGTATTCAAAGAATTGTAGAATATGCTTTTATAATTTTTTTTGTAGAATATTAGTTTCTGGTTTGAATTAGTGTTCACCTCATCTGTCGGTTTCTAGACCTCCAAGGGTCCCATTAATTAATAACACATAGATATTATCTTTTAAGAAAGGGGTGGGTCGAAAATAAGTTTTCGTTTCTAGATTCGTAGTTTTTGTACTTTTTATGGTTTTTGATTCTCCTTGGGCTCCCTAGCCACTCCCTTGAATATTGACTACGTCCCAGATTAAAGGACATTGATTTTTTTATTTCAGGGAAGAGTGCCATGAGTATAACTACAAACCAAGCTATGCTGACCTTTTGCTTGGTTTTCAGAGGACAGCCGTTTTTTGAATTTTTTAATATTTAAATAGTTTTGTCTTGTTCAAATTCGTCTAGAAAACGAATAAAATTAGAAGACACGTGAGATGCTCATTATTTTAATTTCAGGTCCTATTTTTCATAATAAATATCTGGGCACCCTGTATATAGATCAAAGACAATGAAAAAACAGAGTTTATGCCTAGGATGCAGCGCTTAAATATGGGTGCCCTAATTCGCATAGATTTGAATTTAAACTTGATTCCTTATATTATATAGCACAGCTTTTGGTCTTTTTTGATTAAGGATAATATAAAACATTACTCACAAGTAGCATAAATCCCAATGAATATGACAATATCATCAAAAAAAATTAAAATTCCAAAATTCTTTAAAAAAAACAATTCTAACTCCTTAAACAGACATTCGACGATATTTATAAAAACTCAACATCATCGCAACACCTAAAACTCTATATATACACATCTCATTCATGTAATATACTGCTTCAATATATGCACTTTAGCACTATTCGTTGTTAAAAAAATTGTTTTCATGTTTTTTATGCTTTTTAATCCTCGTTAGTGAATATTTTTGTTTGCAAACGATGACTACGATCTGTACACACCAAAAAGTAAAGTAAATTGCTCATATGTTGCAGATGGAATGAGAAAAAAAGAGGTACAACAAGAAACGAACGAGCGACCGAGAGCAGCAAAAAAAATAGTGTTAAAGAAATTGAAAATTCTGTAATGTGTTAAAATATTTCCATTGTATGAATAAAAAACAGAGATTTCTTTCAACTGAAGCAGCATAGCAATTTGTGTGCGCTCACATAAAGGAGAGATATGGCGAGACCCTTGTGGTGATGATGGGAGGAATTGACAGAACACGATAACAGTTTGTGAAATGTTAATTTTTTGAAATTTTAAAGTTCAAACTTCAAAAAAATTCTGAAAATCTGAAAACACCCCCCTAAGGGACCTCAAAGCAAAAAACAAAAAACCGAGAGACAAGCTACACTAAAATATTGAAAGAATCTTTATACTTAAAATGAACGTTACTACAAAAAAGGAGCAGCGTACCTTTACAATGTATGTTATGTTGATATGGCGAAATGCGTTAATTAGCGAGAATTAGTAACCCACGCTAAGAAAAATTATGAGACTTGTCTGCAATGCAATGCATGCAGCAGCAGAAACACTTTCTCGCTAATAGCTTCACAACTCATTAGTATTGCACAAGACAATTAACATTTGAGATACATATTCTTGTGCCTTTTTTTTCTGTTACGAAAAAAAAAGACGAAAGAAAGAAAAATTATTGTATGAAAAAAAAACAAAGTTATTGCAAGTTAGCATCGTATTTTGTGTTCATGTACCTTTCCTTATTGCATTCACCTCTCTACATCGACTCTTCTTAAGTCAAGCTTAATTATTTCAAATTGTTGGTCTTTTACTTCTTATTTTTTCGCATTCTGCTTTTTTAGCGGGTTTGGTGGTAAAAATCGCGCGCTTTTAAATATCAGGAGTTTGGCTGGTTTGAGTTGTTGACTCAAACAGATTGGAGATTTGAGAAGTGGTAATGAAAATAGTTTAAAAAAAAAAACTTTGATAGATTAACGAGAGAGGGTTGACCTCCCGCTCAAACCTAGACCGACAGTTTTTAGTGGGCTTCGAAAAATTTCTCTGATGATATCTCTGCCTGTAGCCTACAAAAGAAGGCTGTGAGCCTCATTTTAGTACATATGATTCGAAAAAGGACAAGTGAAAATTTTCCCATGCCGAGTCTCGAACCCAGGAGAACTTGTATCAACTTTAAGGTCCAAAATTTAGTTGTTCAAACTCTAAGATCCATAGCTACATATTGTAGGTATCTAATGGATAATCTATGTTTAAACAAGTGATTATTTGCGAGACTTTCCATTCAAACCTAGTTGATGGGCAAAAAAAGCCATGTTAAGCAATGTTAAGTCTCGAACCCATGAGCGCTGTGTCAATATCGTAAGAATTAAGTACCTAAGTTTTGAACCATTTCACCATCGAGCTAGTTCAGCTCTTATCTACAAGATGATTGATTTATCATCCTTATAAATATCTTGACTAGTCAAAATTGTCCAATAACTTCAAAAACGACATACCATAAGAACCAGTGCAGCAATTTTCATCTAAAAAAGACCAAACCCTCTCAGAAAACCAAGCGCTTTATCCACAGTTCCCCACAATTCCTTCTAAAACTCCAAAGCAGACCAAAGCGTTTATTAGATTTTTTCTTGTAGTACAAAAAGCAAAGAAGTAAAAAACTGAAATTCTCCTCCCTCTTTCCATCTTTCTTACTCTTATACTCTCCTTAATTTCTCTTCACAACTGCAGTGCCACATGTATAAATCTATCTAATGCCATAACTCAGGTTAAATTGGTTTAAATCTCGCCCATTTATTGTGTGCAACATACACATAGACTTGCCATTAAATTGAGACTCAATGAAGGAATTTATTGAAGAAATCATGCTCAATAAATTTCATTTAGAGACTTTTCTTTCCTACTTCTTATCGTCAATGGACTTAAAAATTGCCGCCTCGTCTTGCTCTGCTTTAAAAAAATAAAAATGAAATGAGTTTTCACGTGCTGCAGCAGCTTAAGCTATGGCACAAATGAAAGGTAATTAAATTGTTAAAGATCTCTGATAGACCACGCGAAATGTGTAGCAAGTAGCCACTATCAATTATTTAATGTACATTTGCATGTGTACAATATTTATCTCAATAATTATTAATTTTAATTTCAACAGAACAATTTTTGCATCTTACAGACAATTTTTATATGCAAAAAAAAAGAAAAACGTTGAAAAGGCAATAAAAGTGAGAATAGATTAAAATCAATTTAGAAATATGAAAAATTTCCATCATTACTCATGCGACATAGATTGATTCTGTTTAATGTGTACGAACGTGAATGCAAAAAAGAACTCAAAATTGAGATGTTTTTAAAATAAAATGAATAAAAAAAGAACGAAGAGAAGGAAGAAGATGAATCTCGCGTATATGTTCAAAATGTGAGAAAATTTGCAATTTATGCAGTTTTTTTTAACTGATCATCATCATCGTCATGATTGTCATTGTAACGAGCTCTTCTGTTTTGTGCATTATGAAATTTCATGTGAAATAAGAAAAAACGTCAATTGAAATGTTCCCCACCCACGATTTAATGCCACCAATGTCAATTTGAACAGAATAAATAAGTTAGCAAGAAAAAGAGAGATTTGTGATTTAATGGGATGGGAACTTTGGATGATTTAGATTTTATAGTCAGCAACTTGATTTTATGACAACTTTTATTTAAAAATTCTTAAAAAAATCCACAAAAAATGAAACTTCCTTAATAAATTCAAACTTCACTCCCCTTGCATCATACCAACATGCAACAGCAAATGAGACTTCAAATACAATAAAAATCAGCTGTGCATACTTAAGATGCAGTTAAGTAGAAAGCGAGTGGAGAATGAAATAATAATAACAGCTTGAATCCATATTGACACTATTCTTATTTAATGATTATAGGATTTTTAATCCTCTTAGAGGTAATATTGTTTAAAAAGAGTTCCTACTGAGATTGATGGAAAAGTGAAAAATTATGAGATGGTTTTTTAATATCTAAAGCCTAAACTATGGGATTTGTGGTGGTTTT